CAAAACCAGAGCCTGGCCAGCCAGAGCCACACTTTGGCTGCTAGCCAGGCTCCCAGCTACAAGAGCGACACGGCTACAACTTTCCCAGCCCCCAGGACTCCAGGTAAGGCTGCTGAGACCAGCGGAGTTACTGGCCTCAGCCTCCCCTAACCCACCTGGGGTAACCTGCCATGCACCAGAGGGCATGTGGCATGGGTGCTTTCCAGGGACAATTAGCAGTGGCACAAGGTGTGTCACTGCTAGTTGTTCCCAGAGAACCAAACATTCACACTCGTCTGGATGTGGCTCACGTGACTATCCTGTTAGCTCCATTGATGCCTTTAGCTCGTTTAAAAGAGTTTAGAATTTATGACCAGATATTGGTTACCTTTAACATACGTGATCCAGAGGAAGGTTTTCAAAGAGCCATTATCTTCCTTTACACAGATCACATCATCCAGCAACAATTACTTTCTCTCTGCTCTCTGTATGTGCTCAAGACGGGGTGGTAGGCACTTGCGCCATTCTCACAGGAGAGAACAGAAGTGTGCTAAAGGAGTATAGAAGTGTCCGTGCTCTCTCTGTGCTTGTACAAGGGAAGTGCAGATCCACATGACCCTGCAATGAGGCTGAGTTCTGGGGGGAAGTTCTGAGTTTTGCTGGGGAACAGTTTGGAGGACTTAGTGTGAACATTTTTTGTTATAGACAGTTTTATAGTAGGACATCTAGATGCCCTTTCCACCTGCGGGGAACATACCAGTCTGGGCCTTGCAGCAGGTACTAAAGACTGCTTCCTGAATGCTTCCAGATATTATATTTCATTTTATTGGGTGATTTTAGTCTTCTATATAGTTTTGTTACACTTACTAAGGTGGAACACTGCCTGAGCAGAAGAAAAGGAGTCTCTCAGGGAGGTAGAGGGAGAAAAAGCAGAGTCCTGGGGAGAACAAGGGGAACACAAGGGAACAGCCAAGGTAAAGTTAGCACATTCAGAGGCTGTTTAGCCTTGTGCTGGCAGGAACTGCATTGGCCCAGTAAAACTGAAGCAGAGCTGTCTGCTGTGCTGTTTAGGACATCAGCACTCTGGCACCCACCTACCTTGAGAAAGAGCCAGGGTCTTGAAGCCAGAGGCTCGCCCCTCTAGAAGCCAAGCCAGGGCTGGCTGAAGGAGGGTGCTACAGGAAGGAGACTGAACCAGGCTTTTCAGGGAGCCCCACTATAAATCTCTCCTGAAAGTGGGGGAAGAAGGGAGGAAGAAGGGGGAGGGTGCATGGCCAGAAGTTCCATGACAGACCCCTAACTCCATATGGCAGAGCCAATCAAAAAAGAAAAAAAGACACAAAAAATACCCTTTCCTCAATTTCTATCTATCAGTTCTGATCAGCATTGTGGATTCCACCTTAAAAGCACCACTGAGCCCTCAAACATCCCAGTCAGTCTAAATGTTGAGTTGTAATACTTTGTGTCCAAAAACTTGTCCCTCAGTTACCCACTTAATGTAATAAAAAAAATCACAAAATAACCCTTGCCTAGAGTTCTGGTGAGTGGATATAGCTATTTTAATCTGTGTGACCCAATACAGGTAATATCTGCATGGCCCAATGGTTACAGAACATTTTCTTTCTTATCTGCAGACTTCATGGTTCCTCAGTCTCAGGTCAGAACAGCCTCTCAACATGCTAGAGATAAACAGATCTAGTTTTGCCAGGAAAGAAGCAGGACTAAGGGCACCTTTTGTGGGAGGGACAGGAGGTCTGAGACAAGTAACATGAAGAAAGACTGGGGATGGGAGAAATGGACCCATGTGGCCATGAAGATATGATTTCTAAGATATGTGAGGACTGGGGGATAGTGTGGGAGCAATGGCTATGTTTAGAGCAGTGGTTCCAAACCTTGGGGTTGCAACTCTCCAGCATCTCTCTCTACACTGGTGGTCCAAGATATGAGCAAACTGAACAACATGTTTGGCAACAGCAGTGATTTCCAGCCCACACAGGTTGATGCCTCAATGATTTCCAGCTTCAGGGCCAATGAAGAAAGTCAGGTGATTCATGGACTGATACCTGGAAAGGCTATGCTTACCATGGTGCAAAGGAAAACGGGATACATGTTGCAGCAAGGCTTAGGGCATGGTATGTGCAATGTAGATGGCTTTAGTCAATAGTACAAGATGTGTTGTAGGCAGAGAGAAGATGGATCTGGAAGCACATTTAGCGCTAGCAAATGATCTTAAACATGCATCTATCTATAAATATAAGCATACCCATGGTAGCTCAATGTGGAAATATTTAACTCATTTGGTTTTCTGTCACAGATCAGCCTTTTAGAAATATTTTCTTTTAACTTAAACGGAATTTCAGGACATAAACTCCATGCCACTTAGATCAGAGATTGAATTGAAAATGCCTATTGCTCACTTCAAGTGCCATGAAAGACAATGATCTTTTAAAATATATATATAAATGAACAATGCCGATCCCCAACCAAACAAATCTGTTTCCAATCCATCCCCTGTCACCCTTTCTCATGAGCATGTAATGTCAGAAACAAATTTTGCTGTTGTTTACTCTGATGCAGTTCCACTGAAATCTGTGGGGTTGCTTTGGGTTTATGCCAGGATATCAAATCTTGCATAACTGCACTGGAACGTAAATGGCTTGCAATCTCAAGGCTTGTCTGCACAAGAAAGTGCACACTAAGCTGGGGTGCAAATTTAGAGCACACTGGCTCCTCCTCTTCTTCATAGCATGGCTTACTCCACACTAATTTCCTCATGTAGGAACGCTCATACAAAGAGTTTGATTAGGGTTTCATATAAAAAGAGTTATCAAGGCTTACATGATGTATATTTCCAAGCATTCACCTATTAAATTCATAAAGGCTGGAGCATATTTATAGGGCCAAAGGGCTGGAAGGGACCTCAGTGTCATCTAATCCAGCTCCCTGCTAAAGGCAGAATCATTTCTGACTAAACCATCCCAGCCAAGTGTCTGTCTAACCTGCTTTAAAAAATTCCAGGGACGGAGATTCCACATCCTCTCTAGGTAGCTTGTTCCAGTTCTTAACCACCTTCATAGTGAGAGATGCATATTTATAATAGGTAAAATAGATATGATTTAGTACTTAATCTCATAGTATATCAACAAACTGAACTTTCATGCCTTATAGCCCTTGGTGGTTTGCCTTACATCTTTTCCACTTGTTTAATTTTTGGTTTTCATGTATGTTCCTGAATGCTGAAACAGGGTATATTTAGCAGATACAGAAGACTTTGTGTTTTATGATCCCCACATCTGCAGATATGCAAACAGCTGTGGTCGCTAACGAACTGGGGAGATATTTACATTCTCATTTATATCGGATTATGCCAGAACATTCTGGTGTGTCAGCATTTATTGATAAAGTGAAAAGGGATTTGTCCATGTCTTTGGTGTTGGTATAAGGTACAGTGAGGTGGCTGTTCATGTTCTCTTATGAAATGGGAAGGAATCTTTGGGTGGTCTGTGTGTGGTGCTCAGGGACCAGGTCATTTCTTGATTTTGGATGAGATTTGAACAGAGTTGGGGGCAACGTTAAATTTATTTGGGGAAAACATTATTGGGCATTTCTAAACGTTTGCGGTTTTATTTTCTGAAGCATAACCTCAGCTTTGAATTTCTTGGCTTTCTAACAGTTAGGAATATTTTTTTTCAACTACAGTGTTATTTGAAGACATATTCCTCCTCAACTGCCATCTTTCAATCTTAAAATGTGTCTTCATTTAATGTGTAACACATTTGTCATTCTACGTGATAGACTTTCAATTTTCAAAGTTATGCATAGACTGACTAGTCCAAGTACCAGGGAAATATCTACTCTACAAATAATTTCTGAATACACACAGATCACAGAAAACCCTTGTTATATTTTTTCCTGCTTCCTCAAAGGTACAGTCAAGAATATGCTATATTTACTCTTGAGTATCTACCACAGTGTTCTTGTACTTAGATGCCAGACATGTGTACTGTGCTCTGAAGCTCAGGTTTCCTTCTGTTCCATGGACTCCACGGACTCAGAGGAATGCCAACAGGGAGAGGAAGGATATATTCTAGAAGGAGGTTATTTTCATCTGTGAGCTCTCCAAGATGCCCCTCAGTTGCAGCCCCATTCATCCAGGGCTGCCTTCTTTGGCTTTATTAAAAGTCACTGAGATTTATCCTCATACTCTCTTTATCTCCTTTTGTAAGATTTATCTCTTTTTCTCTTCTGTGTTCAGTTTCTATATTAATGCATGGTCTTAATATCTGAATTATCTGCATTTCTATAGACTCTTCAACCTGAGGATCCCAAAGATTTTACAAATGTTAATTCATCCAATAGGTATCCCCCTCCATGTTTAGAAGGAATGTAGTTGCTGTATCGGTTTCCTGCTCAGCAAGAGAGAGCAGCTGAGCCAAAGAGCATGGATTCTCTCTCCTAGAACATCTTCTCATTTTTTTTGGTGAGAACACTTCTGGTTGCATTTCAAAGGAAGGTGATGTAGTATATACAATGGACTAAGCTTCAAAGGGAAATGATGGCAGAACTACGGCCCAAGGATAAAATCAGGACCAGAGAACATATTCTAGTATGCAGAGTTGTCCTGCACCGTAACAAGGGGGAGCTATACGTACAAGCTATTACTGAGTATCATTTAGTAGGCTTTTTCTCCGATTAACTTCGTTGTCTAATGTTTTGCTTGTGAGTAGTGAGCTTTTGTCCTGTGTGACACATTTAAAAGGGGTCTTATTTTCAGAACTCACTTTAATTTGGCTCTTTGGAGATGTCTGAAGTTAGGCACCAAATTTTGCTGGCCACTTCGGAGAAATTAAACCAGTTTCAGTCTCCAGAATATAGAAGGTCACTGTCCTAATTGTGTTACACCTTTTAAGATTTGCATTCACATTTAATCACAGAATCAGCATTAAGTCTGGAGAGAGAAATTAAACATTATTGTAGAAACCTCCACTCCATCTAAAGGAAGACTCTGAATCATGAAGAAATAGTATCAAACCAGCAGTTTATTGTGTAACAAACACCCACATCCTGATTCCTGTCTGACCTCCACTACATCAGCTTTGCACTAATTAACAGAGACTCTATAGAAGAGTGAAGCAGCAGGCAGGATAGCATACGGTTAACAAGTGACTTAATATTTTTCAGGGCTATCACTCTTTCTAGGTACAGAACCCAGGCTCCAGGTCCTGGAATAGGGCAGTTGTCACCCTTATTTGGTTGTCCTCTTTCCAAAGAAACGTTTGTAGGCAGCAGCATAGCCATGATGGTAGGCATAGCGCTCACATGGGTAGTAGTCCTCACAGATCTCTCTATGGCGTTCCTGGGGGCTCTTATGTCTTTCTCTGATCCTACAGTAAAAGTGAGGAGAGAGAAAGAGGGTATGGAGGTGAGGTTAGAGAGAAATGCCATTTAAAATATTGGTGTCCATGGTTCTTTTCAGCTTTGCCTTTCCACTTAAGTCCCAGTCTACACTGCAGTGTTCTCCCAATCTGCGAGCATCTCCACTCTGCAGCTTAAAAACATAAGTAAGGTCAAAGACCTTTCAGTTTGACAAGAAAACTCCCTGCACTAAGCCCTTTCTCAAGTGACACTTAGAGCAGATGAAGACTCACAAAGCTTTTTGGTTGAGAAGCAGTTCATGCTTCCAAAGTAACTCAAATCTGATGACCTAAACTCTTCTACACTTTCAGACTGCCAAGGATAGTGGCAGAGAACAGGAATGGCCCATGAAGGAGCCATCTGGAACTGTTATAGGGAACATATTAACTTATTTGTTTTAAAAGCAAAAATTCACAGTGCTAGCTTAACTACCATGGACTTCATGTCTGTTATTCATTCAGGGTAGCCGCACTGAAATCCTTTAATGACTGTATGTCCATATTATCTACATGGCCTCCCCGAGGCCACTGCCAAGAAACAAGAAATTCCCATTCAGCCCCACTCTGCAGATAATGCACAGTGAAAAATGTAGTGGTAGAACAGAGATAGCTGTAAGCAGTGCTGCTTTCATGAGCACACCCAAGATTGGGAACTTGAGAACATCTCACAGGACCAATACCAAAAAAGTGAGCACACAACAGTTTTTGGCACACAGTGCCAAGCAGGACTTTTTTTCTCAGTAATGGTAACAGAATTGCTCTGGAGATGATATAGCCTTACCCTGAGGGAACTTTCTCCCTGTTTGATAACTGTATCTGAAAACAAGGGCAGATACATGCTGAACAGAAATGCAACAGTCCCATTCCTAATACTAGAAAAGCTTTGCTTTGAAATAAGATGATGTGAAGAAGGCGTTGAGAGGCCAAATGAGGTCAAGCACACATAAAAAGCCCATGGTAGATCAAGGAACAGAACCCAGGTCATCAAATCTTAGATTGGGTGATCTCTGGATCATTCTTTTTTTCAGGGCATACATTAGTGATTTTCCTTCTTTCTACTGTTGCTTTCTTTGGACTAATTAATTATTGCCTTAATGGCAGACAGACTATTCAGGTATACTCCTGTCACTAATCTTGTTCCATGTTCAAACTGTTTTGAACAAGTGGGGACACCAACATAGGAGGGAAACTTAAACCTCAAAAGGAAGGCCAGTGCTATTTGTAACAAGGGCACCAACCTAAACATGCTTAGGAGATCCACATACACATACATATTTTACCAGTTTCCTGAGACCCCATGAAAACATACCTCTCGCGCATAATAGCTTTTTGTCTTGGATCCGGTCTCATAAAGTCATGAGCACTTTGCCTGGTAACAAAGGGACCTGATGAGATTTAAAAAAAATGTTAGATTAATATTTGCTTGAAATGAAAAGCATCCAGTATTTACCACAGTGTTTCTTCCACCCTTTCCCATTCTTATCTGATATCAGATCCTTGACATACTCTCAGTAGGTTCTCTGGTTTTGCTTGATGGTATTTCAATGTGCCAAATAATCTGTCCTTGCTTATCCTAACTCCATTGGCTGTTATTTGACTCTGGTGTAGGTCTTGGCTCTTTTTTTTTCTTCATAACTCAGTCTCCCCAGAGTGTTAAACTTTCTATCATTCTCCTATGATACCCTCTCAACAACTTCTTGATCTGATGGGCCTGTGCAGATCATTTGTATCTAGGTAGCTCACAAGCCACTTAATTTGCAGTGGGTTGCTGAATGAAGAATCAGATTCTTAGCTATCTGCTGCAGTTTTAATTCAAAGGATGCCACATGTCTAAAGACCTGGAGCTAGCAATCTTATCTGACCCTTCTAGGATGAAGGGAAGGCAAAAATGTAGTGAGATCTGTAATGCCAGATCTGTCAATGATCCCTGCAGCACTCTGTGATATAGCCTTCCTGAGACTCAGCACAGTTTTTTTATCAATATCCCTGCCTCTGAGTCTTTTGGGCAATCTTAAATGCAAACAAACATGATCAAATCTATTTTTGGTTATTTTTTAGATATGACTTTGGAAAACACCACGAGAAATTTGTTATTTGGCTTCAAGGTATATTTTATCTTTGCGCTTTTCTCCCATTCATCTTAAAATCCAGTCAACAAAGAAATCCAGTTGGCCTGGATGAGCTGTTCTCCTCCCCACCCCACTTCTATATTTCCATCCATCTCCCAGTCTCCTGCTTGCCAGTCACAGCTGATACTTCTAATAGAGAAGTTAAGCCAATTGAATATTAGAGTGTTTTCATTCCTCTCTAATTTAAATCAAATAGTAAAATAGTCTCTTACTAATAAACTCATGGGACTCCATACTCTCGTGGGACTCTGAGGGAAAAAAAGGAAAAACACACATTGAGACACTGTCTTTTTGAGCAACACAGTATCTTTCTGTCACCATTAATAAAGAGAAGGAAAGAAAGACAGAGATGTCTCATTTATTTTTTAAAGCAAGGGAAAGGGGAAGAAACAGTGTAACCTAGTGTCAGAACAGTGAACGGAATAAGGGCTTGGGGTTGTGCCACTGATCTACTCTAGGCTCCTCAGGAACATCACTTAACTTCTATTCCGCTGTCAGTAATTCTCAGCCAGGGTGTTGCAGAAACCTGGGGTGCCTCGAGATCCTTTCAAGGGTGCCTTAGGTGACAAATAATGTTAGACCTATCAGGTGTACAAACATGATTCACAAGATAAACCCAGAGATTGCAAATAGGAATTCATAGTGTTAAAAATATTCTGACCTGTCATTGTCTTCTTTAGTTTTTTGCAACAGAAGAATTACTCTATCATTTTTTTGTAGTAAAAAATGAGTGAAAACTAATAGCTGGCATTTTCTAAGAGGTGCCTGGAGTCTAATGAGGGATGCCCCAAGCCTAACAAGGTTGAGAACCACTCTGCTATGTACTCTCTGTATCTCTGTAACAGATATGACAACTACATTCCTTCTAAACATGGAGGGGGATAGCTATTGAATGAATTAACATTTGTAAAATCTCAGGTTGAAGATTCTATGGAAATGTAGATAATTCAGATATTAAAACTATGCATTAATATACAAACTGAACACAGATGAGAAAAAGAGATACCTCTTACAAAAGGAGATAAGGAAAGTATGAGGAGAAAGCTCACTGATTTTTTATAAAGCCAAAACAGGCAGCTCAGGATGAAGGGGGCTGCAACTGAGGGGCATCTTGGAGAGCCACTTTGCCATAGCATAAAGGTTTTGGGAATTATACAGGGGCTAAATCCTTGGAATTTCCCTAATATGCCTGTGAATCACTGTTAAATATATACTGCCCTCTCCTTCCTCCCATCCTGGATTTCTGTAACTGACGGCGATTAAGGGAACAGCTACAGGATTAGGTCTCTCTCATCTCCTCTTTCAATATTTGATTCAAAAGAATGGGATTCTGGGGAGGTAGTAGCAGCAGGTATTGCTGACAGAAGGATCTGCAGCAGAGAAGGCGGCTCTGAAGTGCAGGGAGTCCTAGACTAGTGACAGAACTATCTCGAGCTGATTGAATTCTGGAGTAGAAAGAGAGGGGTCTAGCAGGCTGGCAGGGGGGATTATACAGAGAGCAGGCAAGGGAAAAGCAAAAAAGAAATAGACAAACAAATGAAGGAAACATTTTCAGTATGCCTGTGACTAGCTGTCAGTCCAAAACAAACTGCAAGAAAAGAAGTCACCTACCATAACAGAAAGCTGCCATCACCAAGACAGCCAGGAGCGTGAGGGTGATGATGGTCCGCATTGTGTGCACGTGTGTCTTGTTTGTATGCTGTCACTCTTTCCACTGAGGGCAGCCAGAGACTCTGGGCAGGCTGCAAAGTTAGCAGTAGAGTGTTTATTATAAAAATAGTGGCTGGGGGGGAAGGAATCAGATGGAGGGGCCTGGGAAAGGTAAGGGTTGGCTGGCATGTATTCCCGCTAGAGCTGTTACAAAACATCCTCTATTAACAGATTTAATCAGCCCCTGATGGTGGGCGAGGCATGTTTCCCTCCCCTCCACCACTCTTGCTTCAGGGGAGGGTGCCTTAGTTCAAAGCAAATCAGCTATTAACATTGCATGTTCAGAAATGCTCAGCCACATATCTTGAATAAGTTCCAGACACTGGTGAGGGCCCCACAAGAGGGGTGTATACTTATCCTCTATCTACAGGGTGGCTATTCTCATTCCACCTCTGAACTCTTCTTCCAGCCCTTGCCACACTCTGTCTGACTACACAGAGCCCAGACTGTTTTGCCAGCCCTATGAATGGCGGGACTGAAACAGATTCCCTGTTTCCTGGAGAGATGGGAAAATCTGATGTCAAATAACTGTTCCACCTTCAGCTTCTACTCAAGCTAGTCCTTACTGGGATTCAAGGGTGTTCCTTTTTCTTCTTTCCCCCAAACACACCCCATTCACCTCAGTCCTAAAAAGATGGTCTCTGTAGAGATAAGGAAGGATTAAAATTTCTACTGCTGTAGCACCTACAATTCTGACTAGGTTTTTTTTCCCAATATTTCCCCCCACTGGCATATATGCTCTGCTCCTCTGGGAAGAGGAGTCTCATCTTCCTCAGTAAATAGAAAAGTCATCCCTCATAGCTTCTGGCTGGCTTGGTGCCAATAGCTTTCCAGCATACTAGGGACTCAAGACTGCTACAATCCCTTTACTTTGCATGCCAGAAGAGGCCCAAAGTACTGCAGAGTCTGTCAGTGGTCAGCCCTCTGATCTCTTGCCCATGGGATTGCATTCTAAGTATTGCAGGAATCTGGAGTTGCCTCCTGGTCCAGGCATAAACACCAATCAGTTCATTCCCTGAGCTCACTGAAATAGATGCTCAACTGTCATCATTGACCTTGCAATTTCAGTTTTACACTTAGGTCTTGAGGGATTCACACCCCACATGCAACTATGTTAGTGGGGGCAGTTACTTAATCTGGAAAGGTGCCAGAGTCATGCTAAAAATCAAACCCTTCCTTACTGGAATGAACCACTGAATTGTGAAGGAACCAGATAACTCTGGGCTTTGTAAATCACCTTAACGATGCCTAGAAATAATTGACTCCAAACTCCCTGCCCTGGTCAGGATCTCTGATCCTTAGGAAAGAAAAAACCCTAAAATGAGTCCTATAAGCAGAGTCCCCAGTAAGAATGAGATATTTTCCTTCTGTTTCCCCGCTCAGAAGAGATGGATTCCTCCCCATTTTTCCCCATGCACTCTCCCAGCTCCCACACACCATTCAGATTATGCAAATACTATAATGGGGATGATGAGAAACCCCAGTGCACACAAGTAGAAAACAGAGTTGGAGGCTAAATATTTCCTACCCATTTTGAGCCCGTTGCCCCAGCTCCCTTTCTTCCCAGTGCCTCCTACTAGATTTTAAGAGTAATGCTAAAATCTCTTAGGGAGATTTTACTGCCTTGGGTAAAGAAAATTTAGAGAAAAAGTGTAGAGTTTTGTTTTTCTTTTTCCCCAGAGGGTGGATTTTATAGGTTTCCTGTATCTGATGGGCACTCTGGCAGTTAGGCGAGTCTCACTGCTGCCAAAAAAAGGAAGGCTGAAGTAAAAGACATCAGGAGAGGACCCAGAGATAAAACAATTGGGGCATAGAAAAACAGATTCTAAAAGGACAAGCCAAGAGAAGATGCTGGCTATGGGAACACCCAGACAGAAACACTCACACTTCCTGACTGAGTCCTCTCCATGTACCTGCCCTGGCTTCCAGTGCTGAGTCCTCGGCCTCACTGACCCTAGCCTTTGCTTCCTCCCGCAGTCACTCAATGGTCCCAGAACTCCTGTGGCATCCTATGGCATCACCGCAGAAGTAAAGGAAGTGTCCCAAACAGTATCAGCATGAATACATCATTCTTTTCTGCAAACCCTCAGCATTTTCCAAAGACAGATTAGCTGCCATTGTGAGCTGCCCCACAGTAGGCAACCCTTGGTATTAGCCGGAAAACCACATTCACTGACAGAAGCCCTTGCCTGGCCAAAGCAATCCCCACCCTTTCACAAGGTTCCTAAAACACATACTCCTTCCTAGGAATCCTACCAAGTGCATGCCCACATGTACATATACCAACTAGCACATCCTGGCATAACTCCCTTCTTTCTGCCTTTGCCATCTAACAGTACACTAGAGACTTAGGAACTAAGATTAAGTACCCACAATGTTTGTAGGGAATTCTGCTGTGTCGGGATAGGGTACAGAGCTGAAAAAGTAGCCCTGTGCTTGTTTTGATAGACAAGATAGCAACAATATTACAGACTCCCAGGCAAGTTTCTAACGTTGTACAGCTGCAAAGAACTGCACAGAAAATAATTACTAACAACTGTTAGGGAAAAGAAGGGAGGTCCCTGCATACTCACCAAAGGCGTTATTCTTCAGTCTGCAGCTCTTGTTGAGGAGGAGTTCTCCCAGCGTCTGGTAGCTTTAGCTGGAAAAGAAGGGCCCTTTTATTTATCATCCCTGATCAGCAGCTCCTCCCCTTCTCTCCCCCACTCTTGAGCCACCCTCCACCCCCAGGCCACCACCATTTCTGTCAAAAACACGTTTTACCCTCAGTCAGGAAACCAGAAACCTCAGGAAATGGAGCCAAGAGAGAGCAGAGGAGCCAAAACAGACATTGATGGCCAATGAAGTCAAAGCCAAGTCTTGGGCAGACCGTGTGCATCCAAAGCCATTAACGAGCAGTGGTAGAGGCTTCCTGAACGGAGGTCTAGTCTTCTTCCTTGACAGTTCAGTTCATATCCTGAACACCTCTCCACCAACAGTCATGCACTGAGTCAGACCCACTCTCAGAAGAGCTGGTCAGCAAGAACACCTGTTATGCATGGTAAATGGTTAAGGTCAAAAACCACACCACACACACGCACATACATATACAGACCATGAGCCTTCACAACTGGCAAAGTAAAGCAGCAAAAAAATCTGGTGATCTGAGACCTCTGCTATGAAGGGGCCTTCAAAATAAATTATTTCCCCAACAGCAAACCAATACCTCAGAGTGACAGGGTGAACTCAGGGGAGTTAAAACTGTGTGTAAGTTGATCAAAGAAGAGGTGCAGCTTCTTTATTACCTCTAAGCAAAGATAACATCAAGAAAATCCATTGTACAAGCAGCTAATAATTTTAGTTTCTCATTTACAGATAAAGATCTAACTTAGAACTTGGTTACAGAGTAAAAAATGCAGTACAACTATCAAATTAGAGGAGCAGCAACAGATTCATTAGGGGGAAGGGTAATCCTTAGTTCCCTGAACCAGGTATGACCACTGGCTTCTCACCACATGGCATACATACGTTTTTCCCTTTGCCTGATCCACAGAGAGCATGCATCTGCTACGATGTCCTGCTGCAAAAAAAATCTCGTTAATCAGGAGATAATGACTGGTGTTTTTATTTTGTTAGGTTCTGCAGGTCAGTCTATGGCAGTGATTCATGGTGGAAATGCTTTAAAGGGAGCTTCAGGGTGCCACACACCATTATCAATATTAGGTGTGCAAATATCTACCTACACCTGATTCACAAGATAAACCCAGAGATTTCAAATAGGAATCATAGGCTGCATCCAGACATGCTTGCAGCAGCACAAATAGTAGCAGCACAAATTTATGTTGCTGCTTTGTGCCTCAGCACATGTCCCCGCACATGCACTTTGTTGTGGGACAAATTGCCCTGCTTTGGGCAAACTGCCGTTGCCCAGCTCCTCACAGCTCCTGGTGTGCTGGAGTAGCAGGGGCATAAATGGAGCAGTAGAGATGCTCTGGCCGGCAGCCAAATCATCTTACTAGAGGACCAAGCCTCTGTTTATTCCAGTGCATACTATTTTTGTGTGTTCTATGCCAGTTTTCTTCCCTGTGCTTTTTTTGCTACTGGGAAATTTTAACATTCCACGCATGCAGTCTGTGGCATCACAAAGAGGTTTGTGGCACCACAAACTGCACGTGCTTACCAGGTTGAGAATAGGTTGGATGATTTTCTATAAATATGTGGAGAGGGGAGGTAAATGTTTGGGGAAACAACAATTACTTAAACTAAAGGAAAATGCTAGTACAAGAATGAATGTTTATGAATGTTTATGAATTGGTCAGGCTGAAAATTAGAATAAAGGTGTCTAACCATCAGAGCACTGGAGTTCTGGATCAGCCTTCCAATAAGACTAATGGGTGCGAAATAAACTAACTAGATTTTAAATGGAGCTTGATCAATTTATGAAAGGGATCATATTCTCTGAGATAGCTGGGAAATTAACTTGACGACCCTGAAGATCCTTTCCAGTCCTATATTCCTAAATTTCAGCATATAATTTAGTCAAATGCCATAATGATAATGATTTAGAGAAGCAATTTTTCAGTAAGATAAACAAGTGCTTTTTGGAACAACTAGTTCTAGAACATACAAGAAAACAAACTTTTTTTCACTGAGTCTTAAGTCACACAGAGAAACTGAGCCAAAAACTAACTATAGTTAAGCTATTAAGTAACAGTAGCCACAATGCCATTAAAAGCAATAACCTCAAAGAAAGAACCTTACTGAAGGCTATCACAGTGACACTAAGCTGTGGAAAGGGAGATTTTTTTTTAAATAAGGAAGCTACTCAGAATACTGTAATATCAGAAGCGAACTCATTTTACAGTTATAACTTGATACATGTGTCCGTACGTAACTCATTTAACTACCAGAGATTAAAACTGAAGTGGGTTAGAAAGATTTTCCATTCCATGGGCAATGTAGAACATTCAAGAAAATATTGCTTTGTCCCAAACCAGGGTAGAAAGCCAAACCTTAAAAAAATGTTGTGGAAAAAAATCCTATAAAAATAGTTTCAGGTCAATCTTTTCTCGTAGATCAAAGCCAGTGGTTGATTAAGAGCAATTCTTCCTTTACCTGTAGAGTTTTCTTCCATGGTCATCCTTTTCTCCATGTTAATATCAAAAAGAAATAAAGAGATTGCTGCTGAAATGCCAGCAATATAAGGGAAACATTCAGCTCTCCATCTCCTTTTTGTCAAACATAAATAGGCTAACTCTCCACTTCTTAGATGTTGAGGTGGAATTGGGTGTTGGGTAAAAATCAATGGCTAAAGCTAAAGGTGATCCTGGTAGGAAAAGGAAAATGCTTTAAGGAACTTCTCCCACTTCATTAAGATTTTTTTCCACAGCCTTGGGATTCTTTTGGATTATTGCATACTGCTGGATGTTCCCAAAACAGCCATGGCTGCAAATCTTTCTTCTGTGACAAAGAAGATTGCACCTCATCCCATCAGACACAGACCTGACAAGTGTTCCACATATTTGTGATCTCCAAGGCTGATTATTACAATTAGTCAAATTTAGGAATTAAAGTCCATGACCTGAAAAAGCCTAATTTATTTAATTTATTTAAGCCTAATTACAAAAACATGGCAACCCTCTGGTTCACAACACTGGTGATTATTAGGAACATCTCCCCCACATTGACCCTCCACTGTGGTTCCATTCAATACAGAGGTTTGATCTGGCTTTCTATCCGTTTATTCAAAGCTCTCCACAGGACTGAACCTAGAAACCCAAAAGATCACGTCTCTCTGTAGGACCTGATGTGCCATAACATCTACACTCAGCTAAGACAATAGTTGGGTCATAAGTACAGGAGACAGAATTTCCAAAAAGGACTGGACCATGATTCTCTAACTCAGTAAATAAAGCAATGAGAATGACCTTGATTCTCAACTTATGCAGTGGTAAATCTAAACCTCACCTCTTCACTTGGCTTTCCCTCAATGAGAGCTCCATGCACACAATGAACTCTCTTACAGTCTGGAAAGGAAGGAAGGGAGAAAAGACTGTTAATTTTATTTCCATGTTTTAATATTTGGCAGTGGTTACCGTGCTATAATTAAAGAATTTACATAAGTAATTTGATTTTGTACTGCAAACCACACATGAAAAACTAGATAAACAAAATAATCAAAAGATCTTTCTGTAAAATCAGAGGATGCCTTTGAGCTAAGCTCCACTGGGGAAGTGAAGCAAAATTCCTTCCTCCTCTTCTCCCAGCTCAAGGAAAGTTATGTCCTGCTCTGACACATTCTCTAAAACCAGATGAGATTTATCCAGCTTAGTTTCCTGTCCAGACTTGCATAGTGATAAGAAAGCAACTTCGATCTCACCCTACTCAGTGCAAACCTTTCCCCTTCATCTGTTATGTAAAGGGAACTATGTTGAGTCTTAAATCAAAGAACCAAGGCATGTTTTAAACCTAGAATCTTCAAATTTTCTAGGTGTAAAATTGGATTGACATTGTTATTATAAAATATCTCCATCTTCCATTATTTCATCCATCTTAAATAGAAATATCAGACCTACAAGGCTCTACCAAGAGCCCGGCCATGTTGGTATATGTTATGCATGCTTTTTTGCCCTATAGGTCTCAGGTTCAGAGCTGACTCATCTCTCCACCACATGAAAAGCCTTCTCTATAGATTCCTTAAAAAGAAAATGAGAGGCACTGGGGTCCTTGAGGGCAGAGGAACTCAGTGTCCAAGACGAGTGGTCGTTCCTTAAGGAAACGATACTCACGGCCCAAGGGGTGTCCATCCCGACAAGAAGCAAGGGGGGCAGGAGTGTCCGTAAGCCCCCCTGGCTCACCAAGGGCGTCCGGGACTGCCTGCTTGCCAAAAAGGCGGCGTACGCCCGGTGGAAGGGGGGTGAAATCTCCAAAGAGGAGTATACCTCCTCTGCTCGGGCCTGTAGGCGAGCTGTTAGGAAGGCCAAGGCGGACATAGAGCTCGGA